TAATAAAGGAAAACCACATAATTTATCATTCAAATGAGAACAGTCTGGAGGGTAAAAGGGGAGCTGTTAATAATCACACCAGGACAACACAGACCAGAACTGTCCCAGGCACACTCCCAGGCGTCGTCACCCTAGTTTTATAAGTAATTAAGCCATTACAAAAGGTTTCTTATTATATCAGAAATATGTGGTTCAAGCAAGGACACAATCACACACAGAAAAAGAACAGCAGGAGAGGAGAGGGGAGAAAACAGTGAGGCCTTTAGAAATCCTTTTTATCCCAGGTTAGAAATGTATACATGGTCCAACATTAGGAATGTTAGCATACAAGCTGAAAAAATTCAAGCAGTTCCTCTTGTGACTGCAAAGAAAATTCAAGTCCTTCCTTCATGAGATTCATGGGAAAAAGGACAGAGAAGAGAAAAGTAAAAAAATAGGATGGCTTGTCCCACTACACAAAAGAGGGTACTTCCTTTGCTTTCAGTTTTCAAAATTGCAAACAATGGGGATGGTGAGAAGTCAATTATCAACAGAGATTATCTACAAAGAGAAAAGTGATGCTTGTCTGAAAGTCCCTGGTAGAGATGGCATGGGGAGATTTTTGCTCTTTTCTAGGAATTGGTGGTAATGACTAGGATCAATGATTAAATAATTAACACGAAAATCCCGAAGCCCCATCGATAACTTTTTTTGAAATTTTTGGCCCTACTTTTATGTATGTAAGCTTAAGCTTATGTGGAATTAAGCAAGCAGAAAAGAATTTCTTTCTTCATGGAGTTCTTCAGTAAGGACTAACAAGATTTTGATAATTCAAAAATATCTAACACACAACATTCTCCTGATTAAACATCAATTTTACACATGGAAGTTGAGGAATTATCGGTATTACCTAATTATTTTTACTGCGCAATTTCACACTTTAAAATAGTGATATTATTTGCTGTGTTGTGTGATACAGCCTTGTTCAGAAATTGTTTTCCTATGTGTTTGCTTGTTTGGTTGTGTCCCAAATTTCACTGTAAGCTTCTAATGTGCAGAGATTATTTCTCATGATTTTTCTTTTGTGAAGTGCCTAGCAGAGTTCTAGACACATACTGAGTGTTTCACATATTCTGTTGAATGATGTGAAGCCTGGAGGTGCCACCCCTGGGCACTGTGCCTAATGCTTTGAAATGAGGCACTGCCCGCCTGCTGGGCGAAAGACTTCCTTTCTCTTTCTTCAGTCCCTCCTCATCTTGAGAAGATGTCATGAAGATAGGAGGTGTTTCTGGCTTTCCTCTCAGAAGCATGTACCTGTCATGTTCTGTTTCATGTGGCTCTAGTATCCTATGGCTGTCTTCGTTTGTTTAAAATCACAGCATTTTTTTTCAGGAATACATCTTTATTAAGATGTCCTGTGCATGCACATTAAAATGTCAGCATAATCTAATTATGAGTCAAATGAGGCACAGCAGCATTTACATCATTTGATAAATTTCCATCATTTGCAGGGGCCTGGTGACTTATATCTAAATATTTCTTGACAGCCTTGATAGAACAAACTTTCTGTAGCTCGGTACAGCCCAGGCTTGTGGTGGAGGGGAATATTTTTATTTGGGGACTGCAACTCAGTTTTGAATGTAAATGCAAAAATCTCTTTAGCTTTAGACATGGTTGTTAGGGAGGATATCATGAGATCACAACAGGCCAGTAAAAATGTCAAAGGACTAGTTTAAGCAGCGTGGGTTAGGATTCCCTTTCATCCTTTCCCTGATTTCTTTTTTTTTTCTCCCAGAAAAAAGTTTGGAGACACAAGGATAAATAGAGCCAAATCTAAATGTTACATGTGTTATTCAAAGAAATAAGAATAGAAGTAGTTCACAATCAACATTTTGAATATGGGTCTTCAGTTGCATATATTTTATGATCATTGCATTAAAAAAAACTCGTTTGAAGATGATGAGACACAGACTGAGCTTTCCATGCATTAGTTAAATATGTATATAAAGTTTAAGTATTGCTCTAAAAATGACACTTTTGCATACTTGGAAACGGAAACGTACAGAGGGCAAAAGGCTGTTTTGTTCTCTCAAGTCACTTGCATGTCCACAGCAGAGTGAACTGATCAGCTATCCAGAGAGACCAGAGAAAGTTGCACCACACTCTTAGGGTTTCTTTAATCTTTGGGGTAGAACTTTTCTTTTTTTTTCCTTTTTGTCTTTTTTCGTGTCCGGCAACGGATCGCAACCCTCAGTGTCGCGCCCGTACTGGACCGGGACTGGCAAGAGGATCGCAACCCTCAGTGTTGCACCCGCACCTCGCTCAGCCAGTGAGCGGGAACTGGTCTGTATGTGGGATCCGAACCCTCGGCAGGAGCGCCGACGCGCTCCCAAGCGGCGCACCGTAGCATGCGCCACCGGGCGGCCCCTGGGGTAGAACTTTTCTTACCTTGACATGGTTTCTGTGTTTCATTCACACTCCACTTAGTGCTGTGAAATAAAAGGATAGAAAAGAGAAGGATGGAAAGGGAGAGGAGCTAGCCCTCTTTTGGCTTCCTGAGAGTTGTGATCCTGGAAACATTACTGTGACCTTGGAGAATTAGAGAGAGCTGATGCAAACACGAAGAGGGGGTGCGACAGAATGGGATGCAGCAGTGATGGCACAGGCAAGGACACTGATGGGGCGCTGAGTGGGCACGTGGGGAGGCAGGACGTGTGTTGTTCCTGTGGCTGCAGAGGCAAAGGGGGATGAAGAGCCCCCAGAGGAGGACTGAAAAAGAAAGTTATGGGAGGTTGAGGCAGATTGGTTTGCTTGGTTTGTTACAGGTGAGGAGGGGAAAGGCAATGAACAGAAACAGCATTGCAGGGGCTAGGAAAAGAAACCAGAGTTCTTTTAGGGTTGAAAGAGGGTCATGTGCAATTCCTGTTCAGAAACCGAGGGCACAACCATATCAGACAACCGTAAAGACAAGACTGAGAAGAAATACTAGTGTCACCTTTGTCCTGAATAATAAAGCTTCACATTGGTCAGGAAACTGCAAAAGGATGGGAGCAAATGACTAACAAAGGGACGAAACCCAGAAAAAACAGAAGGAAGCATCTCTTGATACTCCCTAAATGTAACCAAAAAAATAAAACAAGCCCAGAACGTGAGGATGCTATTTTAATCCTGCAATGTGTTTCTACCAGAGAGCAAGACCCAGTAGAACGTGTTTACACTCATTCTTCCTATGTCCCCAGTTAAATCTGTAAGAGCAGGACATATTACTCATCTTTGGTATCTCCCCACAGTGCTGAGAGCAAAGTGGGCATTCAACAAAAAACCTGATTATTGAAGCAGAAGAGATATTAAGAACTGGGCTGAAATCTTTTTAATTTTTTTCAGTGTAATGAGCATTCATACCCTGAATTCATGCCCTTTATTATATAGCTAAAAATGCCTACTTTGTACTTACTCCACCACAGAAAAGATACTCTAAGGATACAATCCTTTAAAGATATTTCAGTTGTTTATCCAGAAGGAGAAGACTGAAATACAGTAGCTCTGATGTAGCAGATTACTTAAAAAAAAAAAAAAAGTGGGGGGTATTCATTTTAATGAAAATGATTTCTCAGTGGCCTGCTGTTCTAACTATTTTCAACCAAAATTACTTCTACAAAGAGTCCTGGAGGATGGGGAAAGGTATTATGTTTGCTTTCCCCTTCACCAGCTGGGTGCATAATTCTCAGCCCCTGAGCTCATCAAAAGAGTAAGCAGATTTGAGATCCTCTGAGATCACACACAATTTAAAACTTGCTATTCATGCTTCAGATGATGAAGTTGGAAACAAGATATGGGCGGAACGCTGAAGCAAAGGAAATCGGCAGACAATAAATGGGAGCGCCAGGGCCAAACGCTTCTCACTTGGCTGGGTTTCTTCGTCATTTATTCAGGTTCTTACCATACTGTGTGTTATATGCTCACGACATTTAGATTCCTGTCCTCTAACATGTGCATGGCAGGAAGAAGCACAACGAAGGTACATGCAATATTAAAAGCCTTGTTTTCTTATATTCTTAAAGTGCAATGAAATAATTTTAGAAGACCTTCAGATAGGGTGACACGAGCATATGTGATATTTTTAGACTGAATGTTCAAATATGCCCGATTGCATTAAACAAGAAGCAGAAGACTCTGGCAGAGATGATTGGCACTGGCTCTGCACTGCTTTTAGAACCAACTGATTTCATGACTGTGAGTTGAAAGACTTGGCTGACATTTTACTCAAGGCCTTAACTTTAATTTTTAAAATTATTTTTTATTTAAACTTAATTGATTGTACATATCTGTGGGGTACAGCATTGAATATCAATACCTGTATGCAATATGTGATACTCAAATCAGGATGATTATTATATTTATCATTACACATTGTAATCGTTTTTTGTGGACCTTTATCAATTTCTCACTACCCTCCCCCCCACTTCCCTCCTTTGGTGGCCTCAGTTCTGTTCTCTCCTTTTGAAAGTTTAATGAATTATTGTGATTGTTGCATCTTTTTAAAATTTGTTTGTTTATTTGTTTAGCTCCCAGTTATGAGTGAGGACATGCGATATTTCTCTTTCTGTGCCTGGCTTATTTCACCTTAACTTCTTCAATGACTGTATTCAAGTCTTTATGAAAAAAATCTATGCTTTAGACTCAAGATCTGATTAATAGATAAAACTCTTAAACATTTCTTTTTCTCATGTGGTGACTAACAAAACCGGACGTCCCCCACCCCCACCCCCCAAAAACATACAGTATTCCTGATTTGAGAAGAAAAAAAGTAGAAGATAAAATTTAAAAACTGAAAGATATAATAAGCTTAGTTTTAAAGTCAACAGGCTTTTAAAGTGGATTTTAGGCCAGCTGGCTCTACTTTTGAGATACTTTTGCAACTTAGAATATAAAATCATGCCAGATCATTCAGTCTCAATATAGCTCCTGGCAGGGCCTCAGCTGTTATTCATGTACCCTTGTTTTATGTGGCTTTCACTTACGCCTACTTTCATAAATGGCTCTAGATTTCTCGTAGAGCTCATATGGGTCAGGCTTCCGTGGGTCAAAGGCCTCTGATGAGTCAGGAAACGAACTCCTGTGAAGGGCGGGTGGGAAGGGCAGGTTCTGCGCTATGGCCGGAGCAGATAAACTTGTTTGAGGACTGCCTTGATTCTCCCATCTTTCCATTATCTGAAAAACGAAAGAGAACAGAGAAAATGACTGACAATGAGTTCTTCCTGGCTATTACCCTTGTCACCTTTAAGTTAGGCTTTCTTTCCTTGCAGACTTTTCTTCCAGGAAGCATTGAAATCTTTGGTATAAAAGCCCTGAAAGAAAAGGTTCTATTTCTACATAATAAAACATCATAAACTGTTATAAATACGAGTGGTGCCTGACATTTGAATGCAAACTTACATAACCTTGTCATCTATCTGCTGGTAATCTTTAGCAAACCACTTAGTTTCTCTGAGTCTGTCTTTTTTTTTTTTCCTTGTAAAATAGGAAGAACATGTATCTCAAATTACTGTAAGTGTAAGTGCTTAGAAATGTATGGTATTATTTGTTCCTTTTCTAAGATGGTCCTGAGATATTACACCACTTTTACTAAAACAGAAGATAGTCATCTGTACATATTCATTTGACACCTGTACATATCTAACAACCTCCCACACTTGAACACTCAATCACTTTCCTTTCAGTTTCAAGTAATTACACAACCATCTAGGATTCAGGGAGTGTTCAAAGTCTCCTAGGAAGCCTCATTTACTGCTGATCGGGTGACTTTCCCTTCAGAATGCTGCTGCTGCTATTGTTACTACCACAATCTGCTGAAGATCTGTAGAGCACTTCTCAGTTTACCACGGTCTTTCCCATACATGATCTTTGATCCTCACCAGAGCACTGTGAGGTAGATAAAGCAGGGACTAATATCCTTTTATCAGAGAAGAAGCCAGGTTCACTGAGATCACCTGTTGGAACCACCAACTTCACCTTCATTGTACAATCAGCTGATTTCTCATTTAAATTCAACTTCTACTTTCCTGCTTTGGATAAGCCTATAGTGTGTGTAAAAATTAGACTAGGTTACTCTCTTGCCTAAAATTCTGTACTGGGTCAGGATGGTCCTCAGGATAAAGGACAAACTCCCTCGTGGGGCGTGGCAGGCTCCTCAGGACCCAGGTTCTTCTCACCTTTCCCATGTCACCTGATGGTTTCTCCTTTCATGGCCTGGGAGCCAGGTTCTCTTCTGCCTCTGAAGCTTTGCGTTCTCTCTGTACTTCTCCTTCTACCTGTAAAGTGTACCCATTTTCTGCTCTTCCATCTTCCTTCCTCATTTTACCCGCCACCAGATTCAGTTGAGACATCTCCTTCCCTAGAAGGCCTTTGGGACCCCGTCTCTCCTGCACGCACTGACAGCATCTTCTACCTACCCCCCACGCCCCCCATCACACCCATCTGCAGTTCTGAGCTGATCCATGCCTGTCTCCTCACATAGATCATGTCTTTCTCATTGTTGTATTACCAACACATAGTTAGTGCTCAGAAAACACTCATTTAGTGAATGAATTATATAAATCTTGAATAAAATATGGTCCCTTTTTTAGAAACCAGTTTTGACACATAATACTTTGAATTTGGCAGGATTATAACTTTCTGTCTCCTGCTGTACTGTCATGCTTTTGTTTTCACGCTGGCTATATTTTGGTCAGGGCTCTGACTCCAGCTCTGACCTATCAGTCATCAATATTTTAAAGCTGGAAGAGATGTATCTGACAGAGCATGCACTCAGTGTTTTTTGAACTGCACACGTGGACTGTGAAAAACCAGAGATCCCTGCGGCCCGCCCACCTGGGACTGTGGCAGAGACTCGTGTTGAGACAGCAAACTGGGAAAGAAATGGTCACTGACCCTTTTTTCAGGAAATTGGCTTCAGTTTAATTTGTTTTCTATATGGGCTACTGCCCAAGATTTCATTTGAACAAACTTTCTATAGCTAACAAGGATGGGAAACCCCTAGTTCTGGTTCAGTTCCCTCCTACCACACATAATCTCTAAAAGCACAGACAGGGCAAGTGGTTCATCTGAGGCCCAGTAGCTGCCAGAGGCAGATCCTGGGTCAGAACCAGCCTATAACTCTAACAGAAGTGCTTGTTTGTACATGGGGGAGTAGCTGGTAAATAAGATCAGAGTTTTAGCAAACTTTCTGCTTGGTGAGCCTTTTGCTTCCATTCAGTAAAAATCTTTAAATATGTACTTCCTCATTCATTTGATAGCAAAATTCATATAGGAAGCCATCCTGAGTTTCTTCAGTCATCCATTCTGAGTATGATGTAGAAGACCCATATTTGTGGCTAAAGTCGTATCCTTTTTAATTTTTCGCTTTAACCAACTTTAGGCAACATGTGGATACATTCTGGCTGTGACTTTCTCCCTTATGTTTCTAAACATAAGATACTAAATGCTAAAAAGCAAATAAATTAGAAATATGGTCCCTCTTGTCATCAGAGGGCTTCAGTGAATGTCTCTTTCTGCCATCTTCCACTAAGGGTCATCTGATATGCACATGTGTCTTGCTGGTGTATTTATTGTTCACATACAGTCATCGGAACAAACATGCTTCAGGTGAAATATTAGTATTTCTAAGAAAACAATCTTAAAACTACAAAACAATGCTTTAGGGACTGTGTGGGGGAGTTTCTGTGGCAGATTGACAAATTCTATAATTTCTGTAGCACAGAGATTGGGGAATTAGTCAAGAGTTCAGTCCATGCTTAGTAAAGCATGCACAACTTCTTGCTGTGACATTCATCAATCCTTGAGTCACTGTCAGGGTTTCTCAAAAGACTGTAGAGCAGAAAATCACTATGCCTATGAAAAAATAGACTTACAGTTCTGTCCCCTGCCACCCTCTGCCTTGCTCCCTCCAAATTAAGTTATCTGGTGGCTCGGACCCAGAAGACCATGGAGCAAACCACTTGCCCTGGTACCAGAGGCCACCCCTTTCTCTGGGGCTGGTGTGCAGGTCTGACTGCACCTCTTGAAGGGTGAGTTCTGTTGACTTCTCCCTGCTTCCTTAGACACCGTGGTCACTGGACTAGTGCTTTCTGTCTGGGATACTCTGTGTTCTTTACTTTTGTGAACCTCCTGGGTTCTGATCCTGTACCTTGCCCAGGCCCATGGGTCTCACTTTCTCTACCTAGTGGCTTCCTGGTCTTGACCTGTTTAGAGTATGTATTACCTGCCAGGCATTTATCTTTCTTTCTTTTTTTTTTTTCCTTTTTGTCTTTTTTACTGACCGGCAACGGGATCGCAACCCTCGGCGTTGTGCCCGCACCTCGCTCAGCCAGTGAGCGGGAACTGGTCTCCACATGGGATCCGAACCCTCGGCGGGAGCGCCGCCACGCTCCCAAGCGGCGCACTCTCCAGTGCGCCACCGGGCCGACCCTTATCTTTCAACAAGGCTTCTTACTGAGCCTTTCCTGTCAAGTCCCACGGGTGCCCATACCTAGATTGATATTTATAAACATCCCACTAGAGTACAATGGTTTTCTATTTTGGGGAGCAGACTTGTATCTTTGCTGGCCTTGGTAAATAACTGAATGTCTGTCTGATAGTATGAAAAGAAAGTCACTCAAATATCAGTGGACTGAGTGAGGACTCAGTCCATACCTAGGCATCAAACAGTAACATAGAAAAATCCAATCATGGTTGTGGTTAATTTTTTTAACTCGAGCTTCTGATTCTAGGGTGTACACAGGGAGTAGAGGGCTTGTGAACAAGGCAGGGTTCCCTGCGCCCCCCCCCCCCCCCGAAATACTCTGTCTAGAACCTGTTTTCTTCTTATAGAAGCTGGGGTAGTTTAAACCAACCTCTTACTATTTGGGGCAGGATTGGGAGATGAAGACATTTGGCTTGATTCTGTACTTGAAGAAAGAACTTGGATCACTTCCAGATGAAAAAAATGAGGACTCACTACAAATAGTGTATCACTTGGTAAAACGAATGTGACTACCTTGACATGGACTAGCTTAAGATGTAGGACAAAAGAGAGGCAAGGAGTGATACAGGACCAGAAGGAGGCCAGGTCTCAACCAGGATAACATTTCCTTATTCTGACTAAGGATGTCATCAATATCCTTTAGAGGAGAGACTGTATAAATCCATATACTGTGGGTATATTGTTATATATTTGTTTCGATTAATAGTTCAGTTAACTATGTTTGTTTCATAGAGTTATTTATTAAAAATTTATGTGTGGATGTTCTGCTTTCTATGGTGATTTAGTTTACATATTTGAGCCCATCATGTAGAGGACTGTTTTAAGCACGTTACACAGATTAACTCATAGAATTGTCACAATAACCATATGAGGGGGTATTATTTTTACCTCCATTTTACAGATGTAGAACTTGAGGCAATGAGAGCTTTAGCAGCTAGTTCAAGGTCACATATCTAGTAAGGAGAAGAGGCAAAACTTGAACCCAGGGAATACCTTCAGAGCCTGTACTCCAGACACTTATACCATACTGCCTCTCATTATATTCCTCAGTCTAAAGAGTTTCTGGTAGATACATGGAGGACATTACATCAACAGTCCTCTACCTTCACTCAGCCTCGGACTGGGAAGCCTTAACTTTTAGAGAGATGCATGGGTACAGGATTAATTGTACATTGAGTTCTATAAAACCTTTTTTTGGAATTATTGACTATGGATGTAATTACTATAATGACAGCAAATGCTTTAATTACACCAAATGACATAATTTGTGTAAATGTGGTACATATAAGGAAATCACTAGATTGCATAATTGTAGCACCATGATAAGGTTGCAAGGTTCCTTGTTAAATTAGATAACCATGTGTATAACCACACAGAACAGGTTTAAGTTTGATGGTGAAAATAAACTACTGAGATGTCGCTCAAGATACACCAAATTTCATTTTAAACATTAAAAAATACCTCTTTTTAAAATCACATGCATCACTAAGTGATTTATGAAGCCCAGATAGGACTGGTCTTCCCATTTGTTGTTCTCTGTGGACCAGATGAGCCAAATCCTAAATGAGGACATGCTTGGTGAGAGCGTTCCACTTTGCCACAGTCATGGGTTTCAGACATTCCAGTTAGGGTAGAGTATTCTAACATATCATAAAATGGGATCCCAGATAACCAGTCTCAGCTCTTGGGACTTGGGCAGTTAGTAGTTTCCATCCAAGGGCAAGTAAAGACCATCTCTAACTACTAAGCTAACTTGGCTTCAATCTAGCTTCACAAAAAGACTATTCAGACCCACCAGTCTCTTACATCAGGATAAAAATTTCAGCATGTTTCATAAGGGAACTAGGCCCAGAGAGGTTAGGTGATGGTAGAGATCACCAGTATCTGAAGAAGATTCAGAAGTGCCACTTCGAGTGATTGTCAGGATTGGCAGGATATATATACACACATACACACGTATATTTCAAATATATGTACTTCAAAAAGTTCATGGAAAAATAGAATTAAAAGATAATACAAATCTTCACATGAACTTTTAAAAATACCCTTTTTAATGTCTATATATACGGAGCTAACACATATGTGTTTGTGTTGTTTATATATATACATATGCACATGTATTTAACTCTGTAGACATTAAAATGTGAATGTACTTATATAAGTATGTATAGAAGTGAATCTCTCATGGACCATATTTAATTTGAGGGTCAGCACCTCTGGATGTATAGTTTGCATTGTTTCCCAAAATTCCATGTTATAAAGACCATACAGTATTTCTGACAGGGGAAAAAACGAAAGGTTTCTAAAGTATTTCCATTACACCGGACTGAATAGTGTTAATGTTCATTTTGCAAGTATATTTAAAAAATTGGCAGAATTGTCTTTATAGGAAAGTAAGATGAATTATTCTTGTAATTGTGGAGTACTTGTACCACAAATATAAGACAAAGGGACACAGGATTTGTTCCTTTGACATCAAAGAATATCAGAGTTGGGAAAGATTTTGAGGTCACCCAATTCAACTCTTATTTAATGGGATTGCAATAATAACTAGAAATAAAGAAAGAAGCATAATAATTCCAACTTACAGGCTTTGGAGTTTTCCATGGAGAAAAGAAACCTGTAATAAAGAAAACAATATTTGAACCTTGAAAATATACCCCACTACCACTTACGGGTGGCATGATATTAAGGTAAATGTACTTGACTTTAGTTAACAGTAAACAATAACAACAACAAAATTATGCTTGGCTGCACAGTTTTCTTCAAGGAGCTCAAAATCATATTAATGATTCTACGAACATTTCCTTATTTGGCAACCGAGGATTCTGAGATACAGAGAATGACTGATTGTGTGGCAAATGGTCAACCACTGTACAAGACCCAAGACTGAGTCATCCTCTAGGGATTCTGTCACAGAGCCTATTAGAGGAAGAGAGAGAGGGAGTACACAGAGAAATTTAGAGTTTTAAAAGGTACATAGCTTTGTTTAGTATAAGAAATGATGCTGCTTTCTTTGTTTACCTGCTTTATGTGGTTAGAAATGAATCAACAAGGCTTCATTATTCCTAAATTAAAAAATAATGTACATGGGTACTTCAACATGTTAGTGGAAAGATTCATGTTATCTTTCAATTCTATTTTTCCATGAACTTTTTGAAGTATCTTCATATATACCTATATTATGAATTGGATTCTAGTATAAATTTTTATGTGACCATTCCCCCACTGAGATCTTCTCTAGAGCAGATTTGTATTTCATTATTCTTCTACCCCAGTGCTAGCACAATGTTTTGCATGAAAAAGTTCAAAATATTTGTTAACTGAATAAATCACGTATTGTCAAAGCCTTCCTCCCCCAATTTATCAAGCTCTTTCTATGATCACAAGTGGTATAATGATTAAACTGACCCTGTTGTGATCCAAATGACTATCAAGATAATTAAAAATAAAAGATAGGTTAATTCCCTTTTTTCTTGTGTTATTAATTTATCACACGGAATTAGTTTTTAAAAACGTGGTAAAAGCAAGCCTAAAAATAATGAGGATGGGGTTGGGGAATGGGGGAACTGCCACATGCTGGTCCCAGCAATTCAAAACTTAATCTAGCATCTAAAACAAAATTACTGTCTTTTCATATCATATCTTACTTCTTTCAATAATTTTCACGCATGTTAATATTAGATGGCATCTGATAAAATGCCCAATAAAAATGAAATATTGAAAATATGTCACATACTAGGTTTATCATCTTTAAAACTGGGACTTATCCAAAATTGGAATAGTTGACATCTATAACCCATTTATAGGAAATATCTAAAGCAATCTGAATACACAATGACCTGGACACTTTAGCAATCCAACTCAGGCATGACAAAAATACTAATTACACCTCAGTGCACCATTGTGAAGAACTGATGATTCATTTTACAAAAAGAGTGAAATTATACAATCCATCATGTTTCTCAGCTTTCCTTGGAACCCAGAGTTAAATTTAGTGCTGAAGTGTAATAACCATTAACACAAGAAGCTTGGTAGAATTAGCTTTCTTTCTGTCTCACACACTCTGCTCGTTCTTATCTCTCTTTCCAGCTCATGAAAAAAATTCGGTTCAATTTGTGGTTTGATTATAATTTAATTACAAGGATTTAATCATTCTTTTATGAAAGAGTTGAGAATAAAAATTATAGATAAATAAATACCTTTATCTCTTTTACTCTTTTGTAAAACACCAAGGAAATAGTTTGACCATCAACTAAAAAGTGAAAAATTTTTTAACCTATTGGCTAATTAACCATTATTTTCAGTAAAGAATAAAATTTATTTGCTGCTTTATGGAATGGCCAGCAACAGTTTCTTTGAGAAAAGATGTCATTTATACATTTTCGCAATGTCAAAACATTCATTTATTTTCTCTGCTTTCTTTGTGTTGTCGCCTTCTTCCTGGACTGCTGAAACAGGTATTTGCTGTTTGATGGGTACTGGGCATTTCTTAGGATTTGATACAGAGGTATTGAAAATGGTTCCTCTATTATGGAGCTCTCTTCTCCACATGGGACATCTTAGAAGATGATTTTTCCTCCTATAAAAATGTATAATCATGTGACCTCTCAGCAGTTATGGTGCCAGAACTAAAATGGCATAAGAGGGGGCTTGGTCAAGAGCAGACAAGGAGAGGGTGTTTAATTTGACCACCTTTCATCATAGGCACTTTGGCTTCCCATTCATTTAAGGCTGTTTCATTCAGTCTGACCTGCGATCATTGGCATGACCCAGGATTTCTTTACCACTTATATTACAGCAGTTCCTGCAATATTTCTAATGCTGAGTTGCACTGCGGAGGCTTCAATCCCTGAAGCAATAGTTACTCTTTCTGAGTCATTGTCAAAAAGAAGCTGCTTGCTGCAGAGGAGTAATTTTAGGTAGTAAGAAATAGCATAAGAATAGATTTTCTTAAAAATAAAAATAACTTATGTGACCCTTTGTGTTTCATGGGCAAATTATCAATCATGATATAAACATTTAAATTAAGAAAAATAGGAAACATTTATTTTTAGATATACTCAATTTGGTCCTGATTAAGCCAGAGGTCAAGTTTTCTATGTGATTGAACTCCAATGTTCTGCTCAATTTCATTGGAAGAGCTACAGAAATACTATGATAATGTACTATCATACACTATTATATACATACTATTATATAATACACTAGTATATATAATATACTACCACATATTATAAATGCACTATAAATTTTTGTGGATGGCACTTCTAGGAAATCAGGTCTATTCCAAATAACTTTAAAATAAACCCACCAAAAACCAAATCAAAACTTTTAAATCCTTTCAGAGACATGCAGGCTATTATATTGAGCTTATTTCTGAAATTATTTATTCTGGTAGGATGTAGATCACAGAAGCAAGACAAGACTTCTGAGATCTAGGAAGTTTTTCATATATATGTGCTGTGTGGTGAACTGCTACACTCTGCATCTATGGAATAATTTCTACTGTGCATAATTATTTAAAAACTACTTGCTAATTTTGTTTCTGCTGCTTATGTCACAGACCATAGGGACATCACTCCCCTGGCTCCCCAGACACCATTGCATCTTGCTTGATGTCCTAGCCTTTCTCTGTCCTAAGCATTTTGCGAGGCTTGATTTGCTGAGACTATTACCTTTTGGGCTTCTCACCACCCATTCTCATAGGAAAACAAGAACAGAGATATAGACAATTTTTTTCTTAAGCCTTTCACAGCTAAGGTAGTTCCCATTACAAAATCAAGTTCACAGAAAAAGAGCTTTTTCTTTAATAATAGTAACAGTTCCTTTATGTTTTAGTTTCTGGCCTTTATTTCCCCTACTTCTTTTTTTTTTTTCCTTTTTGTCTTTTATCGTTACTGGCAACAGATCGCAACCCTCAGTGTCGTGCCCGTACCGGACCGGGACCGGCAACGGGATCGCAACCCTCAGTGTTGCGCCCACACCTCGCTCAGCCAGTGAGCGGGAACCGGTCTGTATGTGGGATCCAAACCCTCGGCGGGAGTGCCTCTGTGCTCCCAAGCGGCGCACTGTAGCAGTGCGCCACTGGGCCGGCCCTATTTCCCCTACTTCTATAGAGAGCTGTGTATTAGAATTCTCCAGAGGAATTAAAATTTCTTTATAATGACTTAACCATGTTTTCCGCGTTGGCTTTCATCTTCAGCAACTTGGTGTGTGTTTTGTGTATGTGTATAAATGTGAACATACTTATTTAATCCTGAATCTTGAGAACAAAAGCAATATGCCTAAAGGTACAATTATAAGCTAAGTGAAATATGGGAAGGGACATAAAAGAAAAAAAATAAGAGAATAAATGAAAAAATTTAGATGCAGCTAATAAGGACATTTAGATGTTATTTAAAAATTTTTTTTAAGTAAATGTATTTTAATATAAAGTACAAAAATGAACTCGACCTCTAAAATCCGTCTTCTTTAGAACCAGAAATAAAACTAAAATGTATTTTTATCTCTTAAAAGCACAGTGAGATGGGCAGAGAAACGGACATACAGTACAAATAATATAGACAAGAAATTCTGGTCTTTGAGAATGGCATATTAAAATTTAAATTAAATTCTACATGTCAAGTAAATTCAACTTTTAATAAACTATAGAAATATGGTTGCCTGGCAAAATGAAATATGCTCAGATAGATTTGAATTTCAGATAAACAATGAACAGTTTTTTTAGTATAAGTATGTCCCATATATGGCATGAGATGTATATTGTATGGGACAAACATATTAAAAATTATTTGTCATTTATCTGAAATTTAATTCAATTAGAAATTCTGTATTTTTATTTGCTAAATCTGGTCACCCTGTGTAGGAAATATATATCCTTGGTAACCATTGAAAAATAAAAACACAATAGTAACAGCTACTGACCCTCAAATATTTGATATTTCTTTTTATTGGTGGGAATCTCGCTTTAGAAAAAACCTCAGAACATTCCATTTGCTATACAGATCATTGGATTGTGTTGGCTGCCTGTTCATCAGTAGCCTGGACTGAGGTCACACCTCATGAGATGCAGAACTCTGTGGCCATCGTTAGTGCTACAAAGGACCATTTTCAAATTGCATGATGACTGGCCAGCACATTGCCTTTTCCCAAGCAGAATGGTTCACAAAGTGGCTTTTTTTTCAGAACTACCTCTCCTGACACATGCTACCCAAAATGAAAGAATACTGATATATTTACAGTCGCTCTGAAGTGAGAGCTCCTTTCTGGCATGCATTTGTGTGGTGAGAATTTCATTATTATTTATTTTTGCAGGGCAACAGGATGATGAACTTTCTTAAAATCACCCAAATTCAAATAAGGGACCAAAATACAATGAAGAACAACTTTAACCCATCATGATATCTTCAGTTTGGAGTAAGACAAGGCAACTTTTTGAGATTTCTAGGAATTTCCTCAAACACAATTAAATCTTTCAACATGCTTCTGTGTTCCAGTTGATATGGTGAACTTCCACTTGTAGAATGTGAAAAAGTTTTTCCTTCGGCTGAGATATCTGCTAGAACGTATGATTCTGGCTTTGAAGATTATTGTTACAGTTTCTGTAACAATAGGGGA